CATGCCTATAATCCTAGCACTTTGGGAGGCCAAGGTGGCTGAATCACTTGAGGTCAGGAGTTCAAGACTGGCCTGGGCAACATGGTAAAAACTCGCCTCTACAAAAAATACAAAAATTAGCTGGGCATGGTGGCTGGCACCTGTAGTCCCAGGTACTTGGGGTGCTGAGGAGGGTGGATTGCTTGAGCCCAGGAGGCAGAGGTTGCAGTGAGTCAAGATCATGCCACTGCACTCCAGCCTGGGCAATAGAATGAGACCCTGTCTCAAAACAAAAACAAAAAAGAAAAGAAAGAAGATTGAGACTCTTTCTACAGCTCTCCTCTTTTCTTTCTGGGCCCTCACTAGAATTACTCTTAATGGTTCATTCACAGCAATGTAGGCTTTTGCTAGCATGAATTCAAGACTTCCAGCCTCTAGTGTTTAAGTGTAAGCAGTTCCAAGGCTACTTCCAGTTTTAGGTATTCATTACAGCAGTGCTTCAAGTTCTTGATACCAATGAATAACTACTGTTCTGTGGGTAGTGGATGGTGATAAGGGTAGAACTAAAAAGAGAGAACCTTTTTTTTTTTTTCACAGTTTATTTGACAGCAGGGCATATTTGCTCATATAAAACTCTTTGATACCGAGAAGCAGTATTCATTTATCTTATCTTTACCCATATTTTAATAGAACCACAACAACATACAATTTAAAGGTTATCTTAGAGCTCCAAACACTTTGTTTTCTACCTGGGGGAGTGATGGCTCTGATATTTATAGGACTGGTGCACTATAATGGATACCACCCATCTATGTAGAACCTACAGTGATTCAGGCACTGGACCAGGTGTGCTACATTCATTGTGTTCAATCCTTTTAATCTTCAAAGGTATATATTATCATGTGAAGAGAAAGCAGTGTATAATAAGGTATGAGAATTCTCAGCCTCTCCTCCTACCAATCCCAGTTCTGTTCCTGGACTTTTAATAAGCTGATGTGGATTAATAAATGACAAGGCTGAAAGGAAACAAATTTGCTTGGTTGATTTTCACTGGAAAGGGCAGAGAGTTACTGGTGAAAGAGATAAGAGTAAATACAGAAGGTGAGAGGGGAGGAGGAAAAAAGAAAAGAGGTGTCTTCAGATGGTTTGAAGTGATTTGAACAGTTAGAATGAGAGAAAATGGAATCATGGGAGACAGATATATACATGGAGGGGGTAAGCGGGATTTTAAGCATATCTTTAAATTGAAGCCTCTTTTGATGTTTTTGAGAGGATTCAATAAACAATTTGAATTTATTTTCAATTACTTTTAAATCTTGGACTGGATGAAACACCAGGTTGAGATAAACTACAAAGTACCCCAGCTTTATATGGGTTGCAGTCCACATTTTCAAATGAAGAAATTGAAACTTGGTTAGGTTAAAAAATTTGAAGTAGCTTGTTGACTGTATACATATGTATGTGTGTTGTATAATATATATGTTATGTATATGTGTGTGCATATTTTTTCATAGAAAGTTAAAACAAGAAAGATAAAATTGGAGACTGAGACAGTTTCATACTTTTATTTCTAGTGATAAGACAGAGTAGACACCCTGAAATAAATTACTTAAAAATCAATTAGCTGAGCTGCCAAGAGGTTGGTGAAGCTCTTAGAGCACAAAAACAATAAGAAAGAAAAAATGGAAAATCTGAATAGTTTCATAGCCATTAGGGTAATTGAATACATATTTTAAAAGTTTATAACAAAGACAACAGGACCAGAAGATTTCACAGACAAATTTTACAAAATATTTAAGGTGTAATTCTAATAATGCACAAACTCTCCAGGGGATAAAATCCAAGGAAGTGCTCCTGAAATTACTTCATGAAGTTGAGGTTACTTTGCACAAGGACAGCAAGTGAAAGAATAATTACATCACATTAATGAAAATGTTTGCAAGAATCATAGAAAATTAACTAACCAAATACAGCAATGTATTAAAAGATAATATATCATGACCAAGTTTGGATTATCTCAAGAGAGCAAATTTGGTTTAATGTTAGAAAATCTATTTGTGTATTTTATTAACGTTAAGAGATTAAAGGAGAAAAAAATCATGTAAGTATCTCAATACTGTGGAAAAAAACCATTCAACAGAATTCAACATCCATTTATGTTTTAAAAACAACAGCTTTGTAAACTAGAAGTAGAAAGGAAACTCTTTAACCTTATGAAGGGACTCTACAAAACACCTGCATTAAACAAGCATATTACCAATGAAACTCGATAAAGCAATCTATGTAAAATCAGGGACAAGACAAGGATGTCTACCACTATCATTTCTACTCAAGACTGTTGTAGAGATGCTAGCTTGTAAAAATGCAAGAAAAAGAAATAGAAAATATAAGGATTGAAAATGAAAAAAAAATCCCTTGTTATTTGCTAATGGATGTTGGTTGAAATATTACTACCAAATATTCACTCCTTCTCTATAATAGGATTTTGCACTCCCATCCATTTTTAGGTACATTACCCATGAGACACATAGGGAGGGATTAAGTGCCCTCCTCTTTGACTTCGGGTTTGGCCATGTCACATGCTTTGACCAAGGGGATGCGTTAATGTGATTGTGAATGGTTGACTTGACTTGCTTTTTGCTCCTGCCCTTGGCTATGGGAACATAATGCCCTCCATAGTGGCCACTGTTTCAGCTTGAGTCCCAGAGTGAGAAGACGTCAAAGCCAGCCAGGCCTATAAAAACCCAGAGAAATTGCAGTCTGCCGTGTCTTTAATCCAATGCAAGACAAAAACATTCTTTTGTGAACTATTAAGCAAAAGTTTATTGATAAGTACACTGGTGATTTGAACATCAAAGAAAAGGTACAGACAAATCATTCAAATTAATTAAGAGCTTAGCCGTGTTCAGAAATCGCCTAGCATGTTTCTAATTTCCAACAGAAAACTGTTCAAAATATAATATATAAATGCTATTTGCAGAATTCCATTAAAAATATGTTAGCTAGAAAAGTAATTTTTAAATATATGTAAAATCTTTATGGAGAAAATTATAAATCCTTATTGAAATATGTTTAAAGACCTAAATAAATGGGGATAACCATGGTTATATTGAGGAAACGTTGAGGAAAACTCAATATTATACAAATGTCAGTTCTTCACAAATTGATCCATAGATTAAAACTAATTCCAATCAAATGTTCAAAATTTTTCTTCATAGGATTTGAGAAATCTTCTAAAATTCATATAAAATAACATGGTCAAGAATAAGCAAGACAATCATAAACATATGTTGATGATAGCCAGATCTGTTTCTACGTCTCATTTGAGCTTGAGATTGATCTTTAGTTGCCTGCTAGCCTTTGCATAATATAATGTGCACTCAATATTAATAGTTCTATTTATACAGATAACATTTATATGGATATCTCAAATTCAGTGTGACCTAAAATGAAGTCATCATAGCTACTTCAAGGCAGCTTCTTCTGTTACGTTGAGTGCTGAATGGCCCAACCATCTCCCCAGACATCATAGTTAAAAATATGGAAGTCAGTTAATGCTCTTCCTTTTTGTCTCATAAATATCTACCCAGTCATTTAACCACTCTCCATCACTACCACCATTGCCTTGGTTCTGGTCTTTGCCTTTGTTCAGACTATTTGAGATAACCTGGTATTCTTTCTCTGCTGTCTTCCTTTACCAAACCATCTTCCACAGAGTGATCCTTCTAAATCTGATCATGTCAAACTCTGATGAAAACTCCCATCACCTTCAGGATAAAACCTAAACTCCTTTAAGATTTGTCATCCATCATCTGCCCATGTGTCTCATAATTCCGTATGCATCTTTTGCTCCAACACAGTAGTTTCCCTGCAGTTCTTCAAGCATGCCAAGCTGTTTTTCTGCTCTTCTACCTGGAATATCCTTCTTTCTCCTTTTCTCCCATCTACTTGGTTAACTCAACTATATACTTCAAGATAGACATTAAGTGCCATTTTTCTGATTTTCCTGAACTTCTCTGATCCCATCCCACTCTCATATGTGTAAAATTGTCTTCCTCCAAAGCATTTATCATCTTGTTGCAATAATTGATTTTCTAGTCTGTTCCCCTGTAAGATTGTGAATCTGTTTAGGATACAGAATACATCTTCTTAGTACTTGATTATTTATATTTTAGATGATGATAAAATGTTTGTCCACTCTTTGTGCTTCTCATAAAATGTCAACTCTGTAACATAATCCATGAATCCTTGTGTGTATGTGTGTATTAGTCTGTTTTCATGCTGCTGATAAAGACATACTTGAAACTGGGCAATTTACAAAAGAAAGAGGTTTAACTGGATTTACAGCTCCATGTGGCTGGGGAGGCCTCACATTCATGGTGGAAGGCAAGGAGGAGTAAGTAACTTCTTACATGGATGGCAGCAGGCAAAAAAAAGAGAACTTGGGCCGAGAAACTCCCATTTTTATAACCAACAGATCTTGGGAGGCCGAGGCGGGTGGATCACGAGGTCAAGAGATCGAGACCATCCTGGCCAACATGGTGAAACACCGTCTCTACTAAAAATACAAAAATTAGGCTGGCGTGGTGGCATGTGCCTGTGGTCCCAGCTACTCGGGAGGCTGAGGTGGAAGAATTGCTTGAACCCAGGAGGCAGAGGTTGCAGTGAGCCGAGATTGCGCCACTGCACTCCACCCTGGTGACAGAGCAAGACTCCATCTCAAAAACAAAACAACAACAACAACAAAATAAAACCCTCAGATCTTGTGAGACCCATTTACTATCACAAGAACAGCATGGGAAAGACCCGCTCCCACGATTCAATCATCTCCCACCAGGTTGCTCCCACAGCACATGGGAATTATGGGAGCTAAAGATGAGATTTTGGCACATGGAACCAAACCGTATTAGTGTGTATAAGGAGTTCTTCCTGAAAGCAATTTTTGTTGTAAAAAGTTGCTCATTGGCTATGGTTATGGCTTAAAAGACATACCTAATCTACAAATTTTATTTTTATTTCAGTTAAAAAATCTGGATCCATTTTTACTGTTTGATGAATTTAAAGGAGGTAGACCAGGAGGATTTCCTGATCATCCACATCGAGGTTTTGAAACAGTAAGTACAATAATTTGACTGCAGAAGTGTGTATTTTGAAATATACCTCTTTCTTCTAATAGAAAATTCGATTTTAAAAGCAATAAGTAATAGGCTAAAATTCATTTGTAAGTTACAGGCTATTTTACATTAGATATACTCAAATGTAAATATTTACCATTTTTAGTATTCTTTGAAATTATGCCACCAAAAACATTCGTATTTGAGCAGTTAATAAACTGCCTTATTAAAATATTTTTAGAATTAAAATAATTTATTGGGAATAGAATAAACTATTTGTGATTAACATACTTTTATGTAGAAAACCTGTTTCTAATCATGCCACTATCCTGCAGTCTGGGCAACAGAGTGAGACCATCTCTCAAAAAAAAAAAAGGAAAAGAATAACTTGTTTCTACACAAGAATGTTTGGATGTGTGTAACCTCTTGTAACATTATAAACTCCAAGAGACAATCCAAGAACTATCTGAGTATTTATACCAACTTCTAAGGAATTATAGAATCAAGGGGCCTGAATTTAACAGCCTAAAAATTAGGATTTTAAAGGACGTACATATACATTTACTAGTTTAATTGGAAGAGTTAGAGATTCTACTGAACACTTAATGTTTAGTTTTAGGTAGATACAGATAATATTGTGGCACTTTCAAAGATTCTATTTTTTTTCTTTCTCTGGCTACAGTCAACAGGGAACTTTCAAAGATTCTTATTGTCCACACACATATATTCTGTGGAAGTTCAGGGATACTTACTTCCTAGTTACAAAGTTTAGCCATCTACTCATGAGAACAACCTGTATTCGTAGGGAAAAGACCAGGGCTTGTTAAAGGCTTAGTATATTTGTTTGTAAAGCCAATTAGTGAATGAGTAAATATTTATTGAAGGCTGGTGACATGCAAGCCTTGGTGTAGGGTGATCTTTTGTATGTTAGGGTGTGTTGTGTATTGGGAAGTGTGGGCAGAAGGCAGAGGGAGGGAGCTGAAAAGGGTGAGGCATGATCCCTGCTTGCCTCCTATGGAGTCTAATTAAGGAGGTTAAAGATGTATGGGAAAGAGGCACCACCACAATGTAAAAGGAGAATGAACCAAGAAGTTTCTGGAAGTAGGATCAGGGTAGTTGGACTCTTTTCCCTTCCTCATTTAGCCATTCACCTTCCAGTTCCCTTCTCTGCTAACACATTGAAGGTGCTATGGCTTGCTTTGCAGCAATAATGGAAGCCGTTCCTTTAACCTATCCTACACTCATGCTGGATTCTGACCCTGTTCCTGGAAGACGTCTACACTCTGTGCTCTTGCTTGAGCTGCTTCTTGTCCACTCCATTCCCATAGCTCCACTTACCACCTTACTAATCCTTCAAGGTCATTTCAGATATCACCATCTCCATCAAGTTTTACAAACAATCCCAAAAGGATGCACTTTCTCCTTCATTTTGTCCTCATCACATTATATTTTACCAGTCTTGTGCACATGATGCCTTTTTAATGACCTTGATTGTATTCTATCTATCTTGCATTAGAATTGAGGATTTCCTCAACCTCCCCTCACATACCCAAGAGGACCATAAATTGCTCCAGCTTGAGATCATTCTCTGTATTCTCTATGTGGAGCTACTCAGTAACTACTGGTTGAATTTAATTGGATAATAAATTGTATTTGTTGAAGACAATGAATATATTAAATAAAATGAATGAATAAATATATTACTTTCATTTGCATTATGGAAAATGCTTTCTGTGTGTGTGGGGGGGAATGCTTTATAAATTATAAGGTACTCAATTTTAAGCAACTCCCTGAAGGAGTGTAGCTGTAGAATATTGGTGTTTGGCTCTTTTGATTAAGAATTTTCCTTAAAACTGTAACTGTAATTATTTCTGAGTTCATTTACTTGCTAAAATTTATTTTTAACCCCCAAATCAATACTTGTGGTGCTTTTGTGGTAATTTGTGGACATGTGTAGAGTGGCAAAAAATTTGAGCTGCCCAATGCACGCATTCCCAGCTGAGGTTAAATGAAGCAATGCCCTTTTTCTCTTGTTTCACAAGAAAAATGTCATTTTCACAGTATATTTAGTGTCACTTTTTCCACATTTTTGTGCTTTATGTGAGTAATTTCACTGTTTAAATGGCTCCCACGCACAATACACTAATGCTGTCTAGTGTTCCTAAGTGTTAGAAAACTGAGATGTGGCTGACAGAGAAAATACGTGTATTAGAGAAACTTGATTCAGGTATGAGTTGTAGCACTGTTGGCCTACAGAACAATGTTAGTTAATCAACAATATATGTTAAATAAGGTATCTTTTTTTTTTTTTTTTTTTTTTTGAGACGGAGTTTCGCTCTTGTTACCCAGGCTGGAGTGCAATGGCACGGTCTCGCCTCACCGCATCCTCTGCCTCCTGGGTTCAGGCAATTCTCCTGCCTCAGCCTCCTGAGTAGCTGGGATTATAGGCACATGCCACCATGCCCAGCTAATTTTTTGTATTTTTAGTAGAGACGGGGTTTCACCATGTTGGCCAGGATGGTCTCAATCTCTTGACCTCGTGATCCACCCGCCTCGGCCTCCCAAAGTGCTGGGATTACAGGCTTGAGCCACCGTGCCCGGCCTAAATAAGGTATCTTTAAAGAGAAATACACATAAAACAAAGTCATGTATTGACCAACTGAGCAAAATATTGGGACCAGAGGCTTGGAGGAACACAATCCTGTATTTATCCTAGGAGCAATGGTCTAGTATTCTCTAATTCAGTGATCATGGAAACTATATATGACATTTTTCTATAAAAATGATGAGAAGCAACTCTTATCAGTTTTCCCCAGGAGTGCAGGTAAGCCAGGGACTCAAGTGGTAAGCCATTATCTCTTAATGTGAGCTTTAAAAGCCTAAAATTTAAAGCCAGGCCCACTTGTCGTCTCTCATCACCTCTCTGGAGCATTTTCTAGATTATACAGGCTTGTAAATTTGGAAAATGCTGACTAGGGTAAAGAACAAATTTAGGATCACCTGTGATATTAGTGCACCATCCAGAAATAGCTATTGTTTTTATTTTGCTATATTTTCATTCAGTATATTTTTTCTGATGCCATGCTATTTCTGTTTTTCATCTTTTTGTTAACTTAGTATGATATCATAAGCATTTTAAAATATTGTTTAAAGAACTAATTTTAATGGCCTCATTAAGCATCTGCCATGATGGTTGTACCAACTGATATAACCACAGTGATGTGTACTGAAGGTTCCTGTTTGCCCTCAACATCACCAACTTAAATTATTTATTTGATTTTTCTTACCTTTGCCATCTTGGCAAGTGAAAAATAATGCTGTATGATAGTTTTTATTTATATTTCTCTTATTTGAGTGAGGTTGATTTTCTTTTCATTTTAAAACATTCATTCATATATATTTAATATTCTTGGCTTATTTTTTTTTCCTGCTGGGTTGCTGGTATTATTTTTATTGTTTTATAGAAGCTCTTCACATATTAAGGAAGTCAGACCATTTTCAGTGACAGGAATTGCAATAGTGTTAAGAGGGATTGGGCTTGTTTTATATGCCTGCAGAGATAAACCTTTGAATACAAAGCAGAGATACCAACTAGAAAGAAGAACTTTGTAACAATTAGTTATGCAAAGATAGAATAACTAATATAAGCATGCACTGGAGCAATAAGGCATGCACTGAATGGTCACATAATTGATGGGTTATCAGGATCAAGGTCCTCAAAATTGTGATGTGCTGGAGCTCACATTTATTTGTTTTTTAATAAAAATGAAATTATACTTTACTAACACATGAGTATAAAAAGTAACTAATATACATATTTTGAGTGCCCACTTACATTTATTTAAACTGTTCATGATACATGATGAAAGAAATGTGGAGATTATTATATAAAATTCTCATTATCTCAGTTGTGACCCATGAACCAGCAGTTTTATCATTTGTAGTCTCAGTCTCCACTTCAGAGCTCTGAATCAGAATCTACATTTCTACATCATCAAATGATTGACAAACACATTAAAATGTGAGAAATGCTGGTCTAGATGATCTTCCAAATCAGAAATACGATTCTATGAGATAACTAAGAGAGAGAACCTGATTTTACTGGGTTAATGGCTAATCAATTTTTAAACTTAACTCTTTGGTTTGAATAGCTATATATTTTCTATTAAAAATTTGCCTGAAAATTGAGAAGGCATATTCTAGGGAAGAGGTACAGCTAGTGATCACAAGACAAAAGGAGAAATGCATTCAGTTTTTCCTGCCAGGAGTTTGTGCTCTGGGAAGGATTGTTTTTCAAAAGGCCTGAGTAGTAAAAGGTGAAATAATTTTGCAGTTACCCTGTTTCTGGTCAGGCCTGATATTGTGGTTTATTTAGGGCAACTTTATTATCAGAAACAAAGAATGATCTGAGACATGGCAAAGTCCTGTTAAACTTTAGCTCGAAAAAGGAGGTACTTGTAGATGGGACACTGTTGATGAACCTCTCACCTACCCTGGAAAGAAATATGTCTTGTGCCTTTTGAAATCATCATTAAATGATAGCCTCTGGACTTTCAGGTTTTAGCACTGAAAGGCTCCTGTCCCCAGGAACTGCTCAGTCCTGAGCGAACTGAGATGATTATTCACTCCTGTTTAATTAAATTTAAGAACTGTTAGGAGGAAAGCATCCTGCTCGCTTTGCAAGGACCTTTTAGGGTGGTCTTGTCTACTGTGTTCTCAATTAGGCTGAGAAGTGTTTTTAAATTTTTTTCACTACAAGCCTCAGCAAGTTCTTTGATTTTGTTCATGAGAACAAAACCACCCTGTTTCCAAGGGTGTGCCCATCAGAAAAGCCACGCTCATATTTACTGGTTGGTAGCCGACAGTGTTTACATGCAATGCCTGAACCATACACAGGAGAGAAAGGGAAAGGTCCTGGTGATTCACACCTAAAACTTACGACTGGATTCAAACCTCCCACCTCTCACACAGCCTGTTTTTTTTTTTCCTAGCTTGCTGTG